TTGCATTGACATGATGCAGAATTATGAAAGTGTGGCTATCTGTCATTACATAGGCAGCTCCTTGGGCTCGATCTCGCATGGCTTTCGGTACGCTGCCGTCAGCTGTCAATTTTCCCAAAGCTGCTATGAGGACAGGATACATACGGAGTATTTTTGAAAGGGAATTCTGCAGGCTTGCTGACCATCGCACTGCGTGAATTGGGTCCATCCTCAGAGCGCGAAATCCCATCCCTTCAGCTGTTCGGGAGTAAATGGCATGTGCTCGCGTAGCCACCGTAGATCCTAATAAGTGATGCATTTCCGTAATGAGCGTACGCGTGAGGTTGAAAGCAAGCCCCCTTTGCGCTTGCACTGCTAAATTTAGCTTGTGCGCAGCACAGACTGAAAGGAGGAATTCTTCTCTTCTCACGCTGTTCCTGGTTTCACGTCTTATGAGGTCTTTCAGCTTTGCGTGAACACCGCCGTGTTTTCCCTCCATTACAGAGGCTCCATCAGATGAAAGTGCTATCATTCGTTTCATGGCAAACATGTAAGGCTCTTCTTCCAACCCGGGAGTTTCTTTCCATTTAGAAAGAGACCTTAAGTGTTCGGTGAACACGTTGACAATGTCGACTGCTTTTTCACTTGTTACGCTCACTAAAGCAAGGTGGAACGTAATGGGACGATTTTGAGGAGAGACCGTCCGTAGAAGGAAAATAATCCATTTCTTGCCATCATGTGATGTGCCATCAGCGAGTAGTGAGAAGGGCAGTTTCGAGTTGATCAAATACTTGAGCATGTCGTACTTCATATGCCGCGCAAATGTTGTAATCATGTTACCAGCGGATTGAGAACTATAGTGAGCAGTAGTGGGAATCGCTCCTGCTCGCATTTCCATCAGCAGCAAGGGCAACTGCATTTCAAGTGACAATCCCTCTTTCGCAATAGTATATGCGGCCAGCGCAGCTGAGATTGTTGCTTCCACGTTTTTAGCTGCGTTAGAACTCCCCTCCATCAGAGAACTTCTGAACGCGGAGTCGCCCGCGCTGTGAACTTTTGAAAATTGATGTTCTTTTATTCTCCTCATCAGAGCAGTTATACTTCTTCCCGCTGAGCTACGTCCAGCATATCTTTTTAAGCACATGACTTCGTTCTTACCTAGGATATTCTTCCTATAACCATCGCTACTACCGTTGGTAGATGGAGCACACTTGGCGAAGTCAGGCTCAGGGTCGTAGTCGGTAACCTCTCTGTTGCAAAGCGAACAACGCATAAAGTCGGAATCGGGTCTACTTTGATCTTTGTAGTATAAGAGCCAGGAATAACTTGCCAATTCCGTGATCTGCTTCGCATTCAATCTTTTGCCGTCTATTTCAACATGACGAAGCATACTTGCGAATTTTGCTTTTTCCCTATTGCTTCTGTGTATGCCAAATTTCCTTTCCTCTTGTTCAGTGTTCCATTGCTGTGCTGCGTACGTTAGGCTGCTTTGCCTCTTCATCTCTTCTCTATGGAAACGAAGTTGACTTTCCATAGCTTCCACTTTGGCAGTAAGTGCACTTATTGTATGCTTCAAATCGAGAACCTGTTTGCTGCAGAGAGATTGACCCCTTTTCACTGCCTCCATCTGGTTGACGAGAATACCTCGTTGGGGAAGCCCTTCATCCTCTTCGTCAGGTAACAGGAATTCTTCCACAAAAGGCTCCTCCGTCGTAGTTGACTGTGTCGTTGTGAAAGGCAGTTCAATGCGCGGCAAATAACTTCTAAAGTTTTCGCCTTCGCAATGGTTAGCTAGACCAGGAGAAGGAACTGTAAGGGCCCAACAAGATTCACAATAAGAGACAGAAGTGTGTTCATTCAGCGCGTTAAAGGAAAGCACATTGAGGGTTCGCAAATCGGGAATTAGCACTGAAAGCCTCTGCAAGGGGAGCATCTCTGCCGCGTCCTCTGTATGAGCGAAAACAACGAAGCTTCTAACCATGGTAGAGAGCCATTGCTGATCTGTAGCTGATATCCACCTCCTCTCCGGTATATAGCTAGGCTAGGATGTAACGACTCATAATGGAGTTTTCACAAAACTGAATTTACTGGCAAAAGAGTTGTAATCTTTTTTGCTTCTTAAGGATATCATCAAAAAGACAGTTTGAAATGAAGGTTCTCCGCGAGATGGCTTGTGCGATTGAAAGAAGCGAGCTATGCTCTTCTCATGAGGTTTCTCCGCAGGCTTGTTGCAGTTTAGCCAATTTACGAAACGTGAACATTTTGCAGATCTTTCACTGATGTCATAGAAATTGTAGTCAATACGTACGTTTTCGTCACCCGAACTGCCGACAGTGAAGAAGTCCTGCAAATTGCCCTCGAGATCTCTTGGCCACGCGCCAGGTTTATTGAAAATCCACGCAAGGTCGTAACAGTAGAAACTCACACTCAGGTGCAGGTGCTGGAAGGAGTGAGGAATTGAGAAACACTGCGAGTTGAGAACAGTTGATTGAAAGACTCACCCGATGGGGCCTTGTCTCAAGAACGAGCATACAATATTTAGTGAGTTCGAAAATCTGGTCTCTGTGATCCATACAACCGCTACTCAGAGAAAGTTCGACATATTGCGTTTGTTCCTTTGTTGCAAAAGCAAAGGTGGATACTTCGTTGAAAATTAGATGGCAGTCATCAGCAAAAACAATTGTTTCCACGCACTCACTCGTGTACCGCCACGTGTATCTGAACATAAATTTCACAATACAAGCAGACTTGAAACTTAGAAATTGAAAAATGGGAGCAAGGAAGGTCGGTGTAGGCAAATAAGGCTACAGGAATCCAGTTTACAAAAATATATACATGGCCGCCTCCCTTCAGTTTATATGAATCTAAACATGGCCGCTTCCGTTTCGATAAACGAAAGGTGGCCATGAGTCACGGGCAATAAACGCTAGTAAAGCACATACACAGGATGCTGGAATCCACTGTTACCCAGAAGTATTGAGAGGAACGCGAGCATTACCTCAGTCCGCGAAAGGGAATGATGACATGCAAAGTTTGTACGGTTTGGCTTCGACTGGGTTGAAAAAAGTCACAGTTTCAGGCATTTCAGGTTAGAACAGGACAAGGATTACAACAGCTGCGAGCTGCGCGTCATGGCAAGATGAAATAGACTTCCAAATGCCAGCCACAGGCGCGTGCGTGGCGTATCCGAGGGCAAGAATTGCTTGTGCAGACCGCATTAGATTCGATTAATTATGCACAGAGAGACAGTTTTAGGCAAATTACGGTGTTTTCCTTGAGGAATAAAGAACAGTTGAATGCATCCCTATGAAAGGTTTGACTTCTCGGGGCTGAAATTAAAGTTCTTCGGGACCTAATTTTCTGAGGACGATTCTTCCAGACAACGGTAAAACACATAAGAAAGCAGAAATCTCGTAGTCTTCAAAAATGTCTTCGCCCCTCCCCAACAAGTTCTTTGAAGGAAGTTATTATTGCTGAAAGCTCAAAAACTCGCATGTGCTGCTCAAAAACCTATGGGAACAAAATGTTCGAACGTGTGATTTTCTCGAAAAATGAACTTTGAAAAACGGTTTGGGGCTTGTTAGAAAGAGCAAATCCTGCTCTTTCACCCCATGAAAAAAGTGCATCACAGAAATGAAAATGAAGTGAGTTATGCCGTTGAAAGCCCAAAAACTCGCGATTTCAAAAAATGTGTTCGGCAAAACCCCCAAAATGTTCGAACGTGGGATTTTCTCGAAAAATGAACTTTGAAAAATGGTTTAGGGCTTATTAGAAAGAGCAAAACCTGCTCTTTCACCCCATGGAAAGAGGGAAACACAGCAATCAAAATGAAGTGAGTTATAGTCGCTGAAAGCTTAAAAACTCGGTTTTGCACGGGAACTGTTCGAACGGGGCAAATTTTCGAAGAAGGGGACAATCACTAAAATTTTTATATATTTTGTTAGAGAAACAGATGTTTCAGAAACTTTTTACAGATTTCCAAAATGTCGCACACGAAAGATTTTATGAGCCTCCAAATTTGAAGGTG